GACTTTTGATTTAATTTATTTTTAAATACACAATAAAAAATTTTTTTTTTATTTTCTATACACAAATTTAATTTTCAAATTATTTAACTTTATTATAAATATATATTTTTTTTATTATTTTTGACAAATATAATTTATTTATTTCATAAAGACAAAAAAAACAAAATATTAAATAATTTATGAAAGTAATTTTATTAATTTTTTTTTATATAAATTTTTTTTTTTGAAAGAATTTTTATTATATTTTTTATTAATGCCATCAAAAGTAATATTAGAATTATTATAATATTTTATATATGTATATAAGTATTTAATATATATACATAAATATATGTATGTATATATACCAAATATTTAATTCATTTAAATATTTATTTTATGGTATCGTTTTAAAATTGAAAAAATTAAAGAAAAATTCACCGAAAATTTCTGTTAAATGATTTTAGGTTTTTTTTTTGTTAAGAAAACACCGAAAACAATGTTTTATGTACTTTTATTTTTATAGCTATGTATATGCGCAAATATATATTAAATATATATATACATACGTATGTATATATATAGAAATATGTGTGTGAAATAATATTTTACAGGTGACTACGCATACCTAGACCTACAATATGCACAAAAAAATTTTTGTTTATTTTTCTTTTCGTTTTCTTTTTTGTCTTCTTTTTCGTTTTGATTATTTCATATCATCATCATACGGTCTACATATATGAACAACACAGGTAAAAACGAAAATACCGAAAATATAAGAAAAATAAAATCAACAAAAAAAAAAAATTTTTTTTTGATTCTTTTTTTATTTTTAATTTTTAGAGATTAAATATACGTATGTATGTTTATCGTATCGTAAGTGTATATATTTATATATTTTATAATCATAAACGATACTCGAAATAAATTATACAAAAGAGTTTTAAATATTGAGATTTAATAAATTTCCTTCTTTTTCTTATATGATGGGGTGAGGAAACAAGACAATGTGTAAAATTTCGTACACTTTCCTTTCTTTTTCTTGATTCTTTTTTTTTTTTTTTTTGAATTTTTCGATCACCCAAAAAAATATTCAAAAAAAATAAGAGTAAAAGAAATTAGAATAAAAATAAAAATTAAATTTATAAATTCCTTTTTAAATAATTGTAAAATATTACAATTTTATTTTTCGAAAAATTACGAATTTATTACAAAAAACAAAACAATATTTATTTTTTTCTTTTTATCTTAAAAGCAAAACAAAAAAAATGCACACGACTTTTTTAAAATTAGATTTTTTGCTAATTTTTTTTTTTTACTTTTTCGTATCCGAAATTTATATTTAACACGAGCGTCACAACGGTTGACAAGTGACTAAGGAGCCCTTCTAATTTAAACTGATTTGTATGAAAAAAATTCATTGTGAATTGAAAAGAAAAATTTCCGAAAAACAAAATACAAAAAAAAAATTGTATAAAGGAAAATGAGTATAAGGTAAGGAGAGAATATTGTTCCTGTCTACTTTGAGTATACGGTGTGAAATCACAATTAAAATTGTTCGATTCTCGAAGACAATTGGGAACCTGGTTAAGAGATTTTGTTGATATGAGAAATAATAAGCTATTATTAGGTTAAGCAAAGTTCAACAATAAACTCCAATTGAATGCCCTTCTCTAGCAGTCACTTAGAACGAATTTACCTTTTTACACGGCGAAAAGAAATGACAAAATAGAAAATTCGTCACCTTAGATCAGAAGTATCCTCTTTTTGCTGCTGCTGTGAAAGCATAGGCTTCTTTAGAGTGGTGTTTCTTTTTTAAAATCCGTAAATACAAATTAATTCAATTTCCAAAGAATTTTATCTGGGCTTAATATTCTTCTGCCCTTAAAACTTTTGATGAAAAATATCCTAAGTCGTCATTTCTTAAGAAAAAGCTGGTTTAAGGATTTGATTTATATGCATAAAAATGACTTCTCAAAAGCTATAAACTTCTATTACTTCGATTTTGTCTAAGTGTAAAACCATAAGAGAAATGAAGTTTAACATATTTAAAATTGCTCTCCTGTAAAATTTTTGAAATGGGACTTAGGATACTTCTGATCTAAGGTGACGAATTGTCCCATATTTCGTCAATAATTAAAATTTTTTTAAATACATGACTTGATAAAACAAATTTTCGAAAATGTATAAGTCTATAATTTCGACAAAATTATTTAAGAATTACAGTTATTCCAATATCAAATTAAATAAGTCTATTTCAGCTTAAATAAGCTAGGCTTAATTTCAGCTAGCGTACAAAATATGAATAAACCCAGACTAGGTCAAAATATTATACAAGTTATTATTATATCAGATAATTATTTCTAAATAATATAAACGATAAAACAAGGTTATAATTCACATTTCGAATCGAATTGTTATATTAAAATCAAAGCTGAGAGAAAAGAGAATGAGAGAAAAAGTGAGAGAAAATAGGAATAAAATTTTAAGAAACAGAAGGCAAAGAAGAAGAACATAAAACAATTTCGTTGTATAATTTATTTGTGAATAAAAACGAACCTTTGTGTGTGTAAAAAAAAAATGTACATTTGTAAATAAAAATTCAGCCGGTTTTTATCATTTGTATAAAAGCTGATAAATAGAGGTAACAAAATTATTTTCTGAAGATTAAAATTATTTCCAGTAGCAAATATACTACAATTTTACCGTTATGCTTCCGAATTAGCGTCACTTCACACAGATTTCAATTGACAGTTACATTCAAAACAACTTGTTATATAGATTATAAAATTAAAATAAGTTTTTATATAATTAAACATATTGGGAATAATACCTATTTTCAATTTAAAAAGCTTGTGCAGGATTTAATAAAAAAATTAATCCAATTAGTCTATTAATTTATAATGTCGAAATTAATTAAGAATGCGTCATATTAAAATCAAAACTTTGGCTATAACCTTAATTAATGCGGCTCAATTAAAAAGAATGCTTTAGATTTACTACCTTTTTTTCAGAGAAATATTTTTGCTACCAAAAATTTTTAAGTAAGATCCTATCACTATTAAAAACTTGAAATACTGAATTGAGAATTTAGAGAATTTTAGTTTTCTTTTGAAAATGCAAGTACCAACTCAACTCTCAATTGCTAAATCAATGGGCTGCTTAGTTCTGAAACTGGAGGACTACATCTCCTAACCTCACACTTGCGGTATACTCGTTGCAAAAATTATTTGGAGAAAAGAGAAATGTAATGCAAAACACTTATGTAAAATATAAAATGTGTACTTTAGACGTACAGTCATGCATATGGTTTTTCATTGTTTGTATGAATCAAATTGTTATACTCTTACTAGAAAAAAAAATTTTGCGTAAATATCTAATTATGCATAGCATACCTATTTTATTTTTTATGATAATTTTAGTCTCTTCAATTTGGTCGATGTCGCGGTTAGAGCGTCGCTAAATTCATTAACTTTTATCTCAGGTGATTGTTAAAAGTATCTTATATGAAGGTATACATACATACATATGTACATATGTATAATAAACAATGGTTCTCACCTCATCTCAGTTATTTCACTTTTTTTTTATCTTTCCCCTGTTCTTTTATTCTCTTTATGCTTGTGCTATACTGTTATGCCAGTAAAAAGAGAATTATGTTCCTTGAAAAATATAGATAGAGAATTTATTTAATTTTTTTTTGTTTGCTTATAATGTGAATTTTAAGAATTTTATGTGTATTCTGCCAATGAATGAAAAATGGATGAGTAAATTTCTGAATAGGAATGTAGCAAAATTAAGGTTGGTTAAGAATTGCAACGTTTAATATTGTGTTAACGTAAAAATTTTACATTTAAATTAAATTACGTACATATTTTGATATCAAATGCGTAATTTTATTTTTTTTATACATATGTAATTTTTTTTTTTAAATGTTTTTTATACTACATGTATGACATTCAAAGCTTTATAATAGATTAATAGAACGGAAACGGAATAAAAAATCAGCTGATTATATCGGTATATGGCAACAATGAAAAATGATAACCTTCTGTTTTGTAATACAACACAGTTCTATTCTATTTTATTCAACTTTCTTAAGCTGGACTTGAGCTATTCAACAACTTAGAAGAACCGCATAATTATATTTGTATTCTCTAAGTAAAAAAAGTTCGATTCAGGATATCAATATATATTATACACAATCACATTTTGCACCAAATATTTTTATATTTGGAAAAATACATGTACAACAAACAAATTTAAATGTTTTTCTGTTCATTTTAATTAAATTGATGGAAAAAACTTATTTTTTAATTCTTTAGAAAACAAAATGGCTTTTCACTTTTAACAATAATTTTTATTTTAATTAATCTGTAAATATTGCCATATATTTTATAGTTATTTTATTTTTAACACGCGAGTTGAACTTTATATTTATTAAAATTAAATTAAATAAAACAAATTTCTCTTCTGCTATTTATAATTAATGACCGTTTATTAAAATTTACGAATTTTATTATAAAACTGTATTTTGACAATTTACCAGAAAACAAATATCTTGCAGAATTCCTATTTCCTACTCTACAATTTTCTGGAATAGATTTGGACTTTTCATGGATTTCAGAATCAGCTTTCAAATGATACGATATACGGTGACGACAACAGCCGCATTGATTATCTTCCACACTGAAATTAAACCGCGCGACAATATTAATGTTTTATTACACTTTGAGTTTCAGTGTGGTAAGATTTTTACAAGAAGTTAAAAACAATGAAAAAGTTTTCTAGTTCCGTCAACGCGTGCTTATAATTGGAAATTCTAAAATATAAAATATGTAAATTATTTTATTTTAGAATTTTTTTTGTAATAACAGAGAAATTATAAAGACACTGTTTAATGTTTTAAGCCCAATAAACTAATTCTATATAAAACACTTAATATTATTCACAAAACGTCAATTTTGACACATTGCGTGAAATGATGTGAAGTTTTTTTTTTATTAGATTCGTAGCCCGGGCAGTAGTTGTCTTTTCAAATCGATAATTTAATTGTAATTACGTGTAACAAAATAGTTTTGTTATCTGGCATGAAAACTTGCCTAAAATTTAATGAAAAATTAAATACCAACAATGAATTCTAATAGATAAGGATAAAATAACTTAGTAAAATATTTTATATCTATAAGTAAAGAAACATTAAATATTTAGGAAGTAAAAACAAGTAAATCAATTTTTTATAAAGTCATGTTAGGTTTATTATTTTTGGTATTTTTAATAAATTCATCGAATTTTGATGTCTATTCTCTTAAAACATTTCCAATAACAACATTAATTAATGCCAAATGGAAACAAACGCCGATTTATTTAGAAATTGCTGAATATTTATCAGATGAAAATCCTAGCTATTATTGGGATTTTGTTGAACGTTTGGGGGATTTGGAAACATCATTAGCAAACATTGGTAAATTTTTAAAATAATATTTATTTTTAATATTTTTTTTTATTTACAAATTTTTATAGATACTGATTCTAAATCTTATATAATGGCGATGGGTATTGCAAATAATATTCTGGGGCCGATGCATTCCACTTTACTTAAATTAGCAATATCCATGCATAGTTTAACACCAAGAATACAAACACATTTGCAAATAGCAAATGAATCGCTAAATGTTCGAAACTGTGATAATAACATTTTTTCAACAGTTCGTGGTGTTGTATGTTGTAGCTTTGAAGAGTTAAAATCGAAGTTAAATAATAATGTACCCAATAGTGATAACGAAGAAACGTATTCTTTTGATCATATTTATTCTGGATCTGATAAGAATGCTTTATCAGTAGTTCTGTATGGTGATATTGGATCTGATGAATTTCATGAATATCACAAATTTCTAAAGCAAAAAGCTATTGAAGGTCAAATAAAATATATTAGTCGGCACTATGTTAAAGTGAGCAAAATGATTACATTAATTGTTGAATAAATTGATTAATTTTCAAATACTTTTTAGATAAATAACAATAAGCCCGTGCGTTTGTCTGGTTTTGGGGTTGAGTTGCATTTAAAATCTACAGAATATAAGAGTCAAGATGATTCACCACGTACCCCAGAAGAAAATGTTAAATTTGACGAAGCCACTGAAACTGTTGTAGACGGCTTTGATTTTGAAACCTTAAAGTAAATCTATTACTTCTTTGGCATAATATTTCAATAAATAGTTTTTTTTTTTAAATTTTAAGATCAAGATTTCCCGATCTGGAGAATTCTTTGAATCGCTTACGAAGCAACTTATTAGAAAAAAATGAGGATCTTGCACCACTTAAAGCATGGGAATTCCAAGATCTAGGATTACAAGCAGCTCAACGTGTAGCTGAAATACAGGGAGAAGAATCCTTGCAAATTTTACAGCTTACCGCACAAAATTTCCCGACGCAGGTAGAAGAATCTATATAATATTAGTTATTAAAATCTTACTCTCTTTATTGAATTTTTTTAAAGGCGAAATCTTTATCCGTTCAATCAGTTTCTCAGGGCTTACGAAAAGAAATTAAACATAATATTGAGGTGTTTGGCCGAAGTTTAAATATTCAACCGCCCGATGCGGCGCTATTCGTTAACGGATTGTATTTTGATGTTGATACGTTAGATTTGAGTTCATTAGTAGAAACGTTGCGTTCCGAATTAAGAGTCATTGATAATTTATACAAAAACAGTAATGATTTTTCGTTTAAGTACTTCAATTTGTTTTGATGTTTTTCTTTTTATTTTGTTTTTAGATGTGAGTGGTAAACTTGCGGCAAAATTGTTAGCTCTTGATTTGTCCGGATCGAGTAATAAAGAGTTTGCAATAGATATAAGGGATTCCGCAATATTATGGATAAATGATATAGAGAATGATCCGCAGTATCGAAGATGGCCGTCGAGTGTAACAGATTTATTACGACCTACTTTCCCAGGAATGCTTCGAAATATTAGAAAGAATGTTTTTAATTTAGTAAGGCATTTTTATATTGCAGTTGATTAGTTTTTTTATTTATTATGAAATTTACTTGGTCAATATTAGGTTCTCATAATAGATCCTTTAAAAATTGACTCTAGGAATTTAGTAAAGTTAGCTGAAAGTTTCGTAATTCATTCAGCGCCTGTAAGATTGGGATTGGTATTTGACGATAGAAAATCGGATTCGACAAACGATGACTCTTATAGAGCAATGTTTTGTGCATTTAATTATATAACCCAAAATAAAGATGCAAGGGCTGCAATAAGCTTTTTGACCGACGTAATTATTTTAAAATCGTTAAAATAGTTTTATCATATTTAAATATAAGATTTATTTTGTAGATTTATGCTTCTATTCAAAAAGACAAAGATGTTACATATAAAGAAATTAAATTACAATTGAAGAAATTGTTCAACTCACTATCTTTAGATGATATTGAAGAAATTTTAAGTGAAGACTCTGAATATGATTACGGGCGTAAATTGCATAAAGATTTTGTCCAAAGAATTAATTTTAGAAGCACACCACAGGCTTTAATTAATGGTGTTCCCGTGCAAGAATCATTCTTAAACGTTGATGATTTTGAAGAGGCTATATTCACAGAGGTAATGCAGCAAACACCAATTCTACAGAAGGCAGTTTATAAAGGTGATTTGAGCGATAACGATGTGCTAATTGATTATTTGATGAATCAACCGCATGTTATGCCTAGGTGAATTTAAAATTTAATACCGTTGATAACATGGAGGGAAATAATTTTTGTTTTTACTTGTTTAGATTGAATCAAAGAATTCTTGGCAGCGAAAATGTCAGTTTCTTAGATTTATCTGGTGTGGCTCATGATATTAATCACATAAATACGTTAGCGAAATTAAGTAATAGGGATATGACAGCCACTTTAATGAAAAATTTGAAATATTTTACTGGAAAACCATCAACCAAATCATCCCCCTTTAAGGATGTTCATTTTATGACCGTATGGGTGTTCGCCGATTTGAATACAGGCGAAGGAAAGGAATTACTTCTGAATGCTTTAAAATATATGGTTTGATTTCACGATTATGTTTAGAAATAAATAAATTCTAGTATAAAAAATATATATATATTTTAGACTTCAGTTCGCAATATTCGAGTGGCGTTTATACCCAACGCAGAAGGTGAAATTAGTTATAAAATTAAAAATTTAAATCATTTAGTGTGGGCAGCTTCACAAGCTTTGGATGGTGAAATTGCTACTAGTTTTGCTATTAGATTGCTTGAAAATCAAGTTAGTGATTCCGCCGATGTTATTGTACCAGAAGCAGTCAAAGAAATTTTGCCTTCAACTGATGTTCATATAAAAATGTTGCGCTTTTATGCTCAAAGAGCAATCAATTTAAGTAGCGCTCAAAGGATGGTTATAGTTAATGGAAAAATGTATGGACCGTTGTTAGAGGATGAAAGTTTTGAAACTGATGACTTCGCTTTAATTGAACGTTGTAACAATCTTCAATATATTGATAAATTGAAAAGAGTTTTCATTGCTTCTGAAGAAGGTAGCATTTATAAATATTTAAATTTTAAAACAAATTTAATTTTTTAATAAATTTCTTTCATTTTAGAATTGCAATTAGATAGTGATGTGGTTTTAAAATTATTCTCAAGTTTGACACCAAGGCAATCTAAAAGTCGCTTTACTTTACCATCAGATTTGCAAGAAGCTCACAGTGTTGTAAAGTTAGAACCTAAGAAACCTGATGAACCATATTTTGAAATTGCAGCAGTATTGGATCCTGCCTCGAGAGCAGCTCAAAAAATCGCTTCACATTTAATTTTGTTAAGAAATGTTATCAATTGTAATATGAAAGTTTATTTATGTGCTATAGAACAACACAGTGATATGCCAGTTAAAAAGTAATTTAATCTTTTTTTTTTCAGTCACATAATCATCTTACATTTTTCAGCTTTTATCGATATGTTGTTGAACCAGAAGTGAAATTTAGTCAGGATGGGAAATTAGCTGACGGCCCAGAAGCTCGATTTACAAGTATTCCAGCTAATCCTTTATTGACACAAAATATGCAGGTTAATATTGTTTATTTACCTTATGCATTTTAAGCCATTAATATTTTTTTAATAGGTGCCTGAAAATTGGTTAATTGAACCAGTTAGATCTGTTTATGATTTGGACAATATAAAATTAGTCGATATTGGTGGTCCTGTTCATAGTGAATTTGAATTGGAATATTTGCTGCTGGAAGGTCATTGTTTTGATTCAAATACGGGAGCGCCCCCACGTGGGCTGCAAATGACTTTAGGAACAAAAAGTAATCCCCTGATGGTTGATACAATAGTAATGGCAAATTTAGGGTATTTCCAATTAAAAGCTAATCCTGGAATTTGGGAATTAAGATTACGCGAAGGAAAAAGTGCCGATATATACGATATCAATAGGTATGTATGATACAATTAATTAAAGGTTCAATTATGAATTTCAATTTTCACAAAATAAAAATATTAAATTAGCATATTACGACTTCAAGGAAAAAATTTTAAAACAATAATCAATGTGGTTAAACGTTACGGTTAACATTACGAAATTTTATTTTTGTAGATTGTTTTAAAATTTCATTCGCAAGTAACAATTTAGTACAAATCAAAATTCATAATTTCCCCTAAAATTTTTAAATCTTACTTTATTAAAACCTTTTTTTATCTGATTCCAAGTGCGGAAGGTACAAATACAATTTATCAAAACATATCAACAAAAATCGTTATTAGTTCACTACGGTCACATGTTATTAAATTAAAAGTATCTAAAAAGCCAGAAATGACTAATGTTGACTTACTAAGTGATGATGAGGAAAGTGGCAGTATTTGGAATTCTATAACAAGTTCATTTGGTGGAGGTAAAGAAGCTAGTGGAACGGAAACAATAAATATTTTCTCTGTTGCCTCAGGACATTTATATGAGAGATTGTTGAGAATTATGATGCTCTCACTGTTAAAACATACTAAGGTAATTTTTGGTACTAAAAATAAATAGTTTTGGTAAAAATATAAATTAATAATTTATGATATTAATTCTAGTCTCCAGTGAAATTTTGGTTCCTTAAAAATTATTTATCGCCTCATTTTATTGATTTTCTACCTCATATGGCAAAAAATTACAATTTTGAATATGAATTAGTACAATACAAGTGGCCAAGATGGTTACATCAACAAACTGAAAAGCAAAGAACAATATGGGGCTATAAAATTTTGTTCTTAGATGTACTTTTTCCACTAGATGTTAAGAAAATAATTTTTGTAGATGCAGACGCGGTAATATTTTTTATATATTCTACATAAACATATATAAATTCATATATTCTACATAAAAACAAAAAAAAAAATAATTACTTTTCCATATTTGTATGAATTTTAGATTGTCCGAACAGATATAAAAGAACTAAATGAATTACCTTTAAATGGTGCTCCATACGCTTATACACCATTCTGTGATTCTCGAAAAGAAATGGAAGGGTTCCGTTTTTGGAAACAAGGTTATTGGAAAAGTCATTTAATGGGTCGACGTTATCATATTTCAGCTTTATATGTTGTTGATTTGAAAAAATTTAGACGCATTGCAGCTGGTGATCGTTTACGTGGTCAGTATCAAGCCTTAAGTCCAGATCCAAATAGTTTATCGAATTTGGATCAAGATTTACCCAATAACATGATACATCAAGTAGCTATAAAATCTCTACCAGAAGAATGGTTATGGTGCCAAACATGGTGTAGTGACAGTTCATTTAAAAAAGCAAAAGTTATCGATTTATGTAACAATCCACAGACAAAGGAAGCAAAACTAACAGCAGCTCAAAGAATCGTACCAGAATGGAAAGATTATGATTTAGAAATAAAAAATTTGATTGCAAAAGTAGAAGATACTGAAATGGAAAATCAAGATGCCTATAGTGGTCAAAATAAAATTAATGAAAACGGCGGTGATGAACATACTGAGTTTGAAGTTAACGATGATTTAAGACATAGTGAATTGTGATTTTCTGATTACAAAGTTGATTATAAATAGAATTTTCATTGGAAAAATTTAATAAAAAGAATAACAAACGTTTTTAAATGAAATTTCTAGTCTTTTTACACTTATTTTTTAATTTTATTTCAATTTTTCGAAAGAAATAAAACTGGGGAAAAACCAGACGTCAGAAACAAAATGTTCATTGAGCGAAAATCGGTTAATTTTTTTTTAAATATTTATTTGACACTATGTGCATTTTTATATGCTTAAATCATTTTTAAATATATTTATAGTTTTATCTTTTTTGTTTTAATAAGTAATGCTTAAAACTAATAATAGTTATTTTGTTTGTTTTAGAAATGTTTTGGCGCTGAACCAAAACCTAAACCAACACCACGCATAGTATGTGTTACTTGTCTAGCAACTTCATACTGCTGTTCCATACTAGAAAACATTTCCTCACGTTTTTTAACATTCTCAGGTAAAGGTGCTCCTTCTCCAACATTACTACTAATATCACCACCAATATTACTAATGTTCGTGGTTGTGCCATCCGATTTTGGTTTAATACCCATTAATCTCATAAACTTTGATGCAACTTTGCCATCATTATCTTGCGCAAATGTTGCACCATCCCATTTTTTAGCAGCTGTGTCTTCATTTTTTTTGTGTGACCATAATAACTTACGTTTTTGAACTTGTTCAGCTATTTTTGTGGGATTAACAACATTTGGATTGTAATAACTTGGTATAGCTAATGAAGTTGGTGTTGTTGCTGCAGCTGCTCCAGCTGCCATAGTTATATTATTACTGTTTCCACCAATTGCTTTTGGTAATTCAGAATCTACTTTACTAACTGAGGGGTTTCCTGGTGGTAAATGTAATCCTGAGTGCTGCTGTTGATTATATTGTTCTGCTGAAGAATTGAGGTCTTGCTGATGCTTATATTGCATAAAATATTTATTACCTTGTGGTAAATTATTAGTATTTGATCGATAATCACGATTATCGCGGCTACTTTGTTGGTGTATTTGTGATGCAGATGGGTTTTGTGACAATGACGTCGATATTGATGAAAAATTATTATCTCTTTGTCGTCTTTGATAATCATTACGATATGAATCTGTATTATTTCCACCACCACTTCGTCTTGGTGAATTTGATCTTGAACGGCGAAAACGTTGTTCTTTGTCACGATGTTCTGTCGTTGGTGATTGCCTACGTAATCCACGTTCACCAGGGTTTCCTCTCTCTCGTGAGTTATACGTATTGTGATTATTATTATTGTTATTATTATTGCTATTATTTCCATATTTACGATCTGTTCTTCGATTTTCATCGTAATTTCTATTATCTCTATTAAAATCTCTATAATCTCTAGAATCTTTATAATCTTTATTATTATTAGGATGTCGATTATATTCTTTATTTTCATAATGCATTCGATTTCTTTCTGATTTGTATTCACCACTTTTACGTTCTGATATTGGATCTCTATATCGGTCATCACGTTTATAGTTACTGCTACCGCCGCCACCACCGCCCCTATCTGATTTGTGATTGGGTGAGTAATCTCTATAGGGTTTTTTATCTTTTCTTCTATCATCTGGGGAATGTCTCTACAACAATAAAAATATAAAGCAGTGAATTTTTCTAATTTTTTTTTTTCAATCACCATTTTTATATATTTTTTTTTTTTGTAGAAAATCAAAAACTTATTTAAAATAATGTACCTTACTACGTTCCCGATCTCTATCAGAACGATCTCGTTCCCTATCACGATTTTTTTCTCGATCTCGGTCCTTATCTCTTTCACGATCTCTGTCCCGATTTCGTTCTTTATCATGGCTTTTATTTGAAGAATTATTATCTTTTCTAGAATAAGAATCCTAAAATAAAGTAATTAAATACATATTTTCAATGAATATATTCTTTCGATATTTAAATATTAAAATTATGAGAAATTTACATAGTATTGAAATAAAAAATTATAACAGAAAAGGAAATTAAATTAAATTATTTTTAATCTATAATAATAATAAAATGTTAGTTTTTGATTTTAAAAAAATTTCTTGAGTGTTATGTGAATTTTTTTTTTTATTGAAGAATAAAATTAAAAGTTGTTTTTTAATATTTTATTTTCTAAACATTGTATTATAATTGAAATAAAATGGAACTTGACACTCTTCTTTTAAATTTGAAAAAAAAAAAATCATAACACCAAGTAGTAAGTGGATAAAATTAAATTTCTTAACAAAATTTTTAGTGTTCCCCTAATTCACAAATCAGACTATTTCCCTACATTATTTATTACATTATATATTATTATTCTTTTAAAATTATTATTTTTATTACAATTTCAATCTATTTATTTTATATAATTTATGTGTATAATTTAAATTATAATAATAAACAAAAAAAAAATTTATTTTTTTAATTATTTAATTACAATAATAAAACAAATTATATATATATATTTATATTTATTCTTATTTATGAAGAGTATCAAATTTAAGTTATACTCACGTTTATGGCCCTGCCATGACCCTTTACTTTCATTTCATCTATAATCAACAGGGCTTACAACAACAATAATTATATTTTTTTATTTATACATTTTTTTTTATTTTGGATCATGATGTACAGAACCTTTTACATTATTTTATTTTTAGTTTGCGCAACTTCTATCTACATATATATACATATGCAAGTAATTAATTTAAAGTTATTTTTGCCTTTTCTTAAATTAAATTTTTTTTTCTTTTACCTGTTTGTTGATTTTTAAAACTGGTACTAGTAGAGTAGTGGTAATTGTAGTAATTGTAGTAGATACATAGTAGTAATCAGTGGATTTCAAATTACACATAACAACATAGTGCATTGAGTTAATAAATGTTCTTTTAATTTAATTTTAATAAATTAAAAACAAAAATAATAATAAACAAAAATAAACAAAAAAATATAATACATAGATGAAAGACAATAATATATATAGAGTAGTAAAAATAATTTAGAGCTTCAATTTAATTTAATTATTTCAAAGAGATGGGGAGTAGGCCTGTTTTGCTAAAGTACAATTATTATAAATATTTTAAGAATTCATTTTGAAGTTTTGCGAAAAAATTCATATTTTTTAATACGAATAATAAGTACAGTGAGAAATGACATTTCTCTATCATTTCAATAGAATATTTCAATGTTTATTCTATATAAATAGAAAATAAACAAAAATAGATTTGTATCTATTTCTAGACTTAAAACAAAAATGGATTTGAATCTATTTCTAGACTTAAATATCAGGAAATATGCCGGGTTTTTTTTTTGAAGAGATTGAGCAACACCTAACTCATTTTTTCCTACGAATTATATGAAAACAATTTTCATTAAGCTAATAAAAAATTCTATTTGTAGGTATATAAATATATGTATAATATTTGTAATGTATTAAAATTTTCCAAAATTAATTATTAATTTATTTAAGTATATGAATAAAACTTACTTTTTTAATTATTTTATATATGGATGATCGATTAATGTTTGTATGCAAATGATCATTGCCTCCATGATGTTTGATTAAAATCTCGTTTTTCTTTTTTTTGTATTAAATCTAACACACTTTTTTAATTCATGTTCATTATGCCCATTAGTTGAATGTGTTTTCTGCTTTTTTTAAGTATGTTTCATCTTTACTTAGAAGTAATTAGGAAATTCACATTTTGTTTGAATTTTTTTTTTTTTGGTAACCTCATCAAATATTTGCATCAGAAAAGTATTCTTTTGCATACATACAATTTATTTACTTTATTGCGTACATTTCTTTAAAAATATCCATAATTGATTCTGAAAACTTTTTATTATTACATTGGAAAAGAAAAATGATAAAATTATAAAATTTGAATTTAAATAATATATTAAAATTATAAAATATTATTCATTTTTTTATATACAAAGGAATAACTTTAGTAATTTGAAAAAAAAAAAATTGATTAGAAATTAAAATCTTTAAAATTAAAAAATTTCAAGTTAATCCAATAACTAAGAGACACACCTATTGGCCTTAAATATACTAGTCTTTCTTTAAGATTTCTTGGGGATTTTCAACAGAAATTAAAGATAAGAAAATATTATTAGGTTTGGTTAAAAAAACATTGGTAAACTAATTCGAAAATGACTTTATGTTGAAAAAATGGTATTTTCATCACTTTTTGAATTCTTTCAAATTTCAAAATTGTACTTTAGCATTCCTATTATAAGGAAGAATCCTATACAATCCTACAAAGAAAAAAAAAACCTAGGAAATTTTCTATCCTAATATTTATACTTAATAATTATTGTTACTAGAAAATTAAAAAAAAAAAAAAGAGAAAAAGAAATGAAAAACAATAAAATTAAGCCTATTTTTATAAAAATTGTGTATATTTTCTTAAAAGCTACTTAAATATTACTTATTAAAATTACCTTTTTGCTACCACTATAATTTTCTCTGGTTGCTGATGATGTTGTTGTTGGTGGCGGGGGTGTTTGACTATTCCTTTGGTTTAAAGAATTTCTAACATCATTTTTGGTTGATATTCTATCATTTGTGCTCATATCATTTCCATATTTCGATGATGACAATAATGATGCATCCTAAAGAATTTGCAACTATTCAGAAATAGCAAATTTTGTTATTTTCTTAATATAATATTTTTGTGTAAAATTTTTTTTTTTTGAATTTTTGGTTTCAACATCACCAACAATTAAATGTTTTTTTTTTTTCATTTTCTTTTAGCTGAAATAAAGTAAATGAATTGTATCCTAATTCATAACCTCTAAGTTTTCAAGAAGAAAATCAAGAAAATTTGTAAAAATTTAAGAAAAATATTTTAATAAAATGATGTTTTAAATATATTACATCATATGTTATTAATATATTAATTACATTTCTACTTTTCATATCGGATTAAGGAAATTTATTTTTTTACCATGATAATGAAATCCTATAGTTTAGAAGAGTTTAAACAACCGAGATTTCTTTATTTTATATATATATACATATATATATATATATATATATATATATATATCTACATATATAAAAAAGGGAATATGTATGTTATTTTGCAAGTGCCTATTTTTAGATTTTCGAGTAAATATCATAGGCCTCTAAAAGAAAAACACTTCAGTTTCAAAATAGATCATACTATGCGTATATGCACTATAATTTAGTATTATATTATTGATATAAGAATGAAGCAATAAATTACTCATTTAAAAAAAACTAGTGTACCTATATTATTGTTATATTATTATTAGAAAAGCATAAAATTAGAAAATTATTTAGTTCAAAATTATCAATTCCTTATCCGCATAATGTCAGAATTTTTCAAACTAAAAAATATATTTTGGATTTTTAAGAAAAAAGAACCATTTCTATGGAATGTGTATAATTTATTTATTACTGAAAAGAAAATTGGAATGAGATTGTATTTTAAAATACAAAAATTGAGGTTTATGCGCAGAAATCATTAAAATATTTACTATATGGGAACATTGTAGGACTCCATTTAAAATTCAATACAGAAAAATTTTAAAGTAAAAACATAATTTTACATTTTATACTTTAATTTGAGGATGAAAGTCTTAATTATTTTGATTTCGTTTCGCTATTTTTCTTTTTAACATTCCGGAAACAAAACTTATTAATTAATTTACATGGGGAAAAATCATCGATTTATCATTTTTTGTATCATATTTCATACACATATATAAATGAATGTATGTACATACGCACATATATGTATGTATAATTTTTAAAACGCGTCCATTACATCGTCTAATAGAATTTTTTTTTTGCGATACGAGTTTTTACTAAATAAATTTATTTGCTTACCATCTTTTTATAATTATCTTCTTCGGATGAAGCACTACTATTGCGATCATCGTCACTATTATAATTTAGTAAAGAATCCATCAATTTATTTAAAAAATCAAATAAAATTGTACAGCTTTAATGAAACTGAACTTTTTCCAAAAAAAAAAAAGGAATTGAATGAGATTTCTCAACAATGACATATGTCAAATATGCATAATCTGTCATGCGAATATTACAGATGTCATAAAATATAGTAAATCTACTTTGAGAGTACGTTTTTGAGAGTATTTTTAAACGAGTGTTTACATGTAAAAGTTATCAGCAAGTAAGTTGGTATAAAATTAATTGTCATTTAGCCCAGTGGACTTTTTAAAATATCTTTGGAAGGATAACTTTGTTTTTTTTTTTTTAATAAAAGTATTTAAGATTCATTTTTCTTCTAATTTGTTCAATATGTTAAATTATTTTCTCAAATTACTGATCGCAAAATTTTCTTGTCAATTGAGCAGACAGTGAAATAGAATCTTTTAATACCTCAGTTGATTGCTAAAATTTATATATAACGTTCACAAATGTTACTGATGATTGTAATGTTAACTAGTTTAAGTTAACAAAAAATGTCAAACGAATTGTTAAAATAAATAGGGTCATTAGATCAAATGTATTCTAGACCATTAAACAGAATCGGTGCAGGTTTTTTGTATATGAAACAATAACAGGTTCAAGTGAAAATCGCTCCTTTCTATAAACCATTGATTTGATCCGAAATAATCACTTTGTAAGGAAATATGTGCGTTCATATGTACATAAACTGTATCTCTCATTTTATCAACGAATAAAGTGGAAATTATAAGATAAAATTTGATTTTTAAAAATTTTGCAAAAATTTAAAATACTTTATTGGCATTTATGTTTTACTCAGCCAATAAAGTTTGAGATCCCGTAAAGAGTTTCACGAATGGGTGAGGTTATGTGGTACGTTACTTATTGATTGATGTTATAAATGATACAAAAAAATGCTCATATTTACTTACCATAAATTATTTAAAATACTTTGGTTTAAACGCGTTTTAAATGAATTTTAAGATGCCTTTGTGCAAAAGAGCTTAAAATTTTTTTTTTTTGAGATATTAAAGTGATTTTACACCTAAAAATATTTCGTACATATCTAATCTATACATACATAATTATATTCAAATAAATTCAACAATTTTTAAGCCTTAGTTTGGATATTTTTAGCCTTAGTTTAGAGTGATGTACATATCTGTTAAATTTTGTGGGAAAATAGTATTTCCCATTAAATTTAACAGATATGTACATATATCAGAAAAAAAGTTTAGCTGAAAAGTGAATAAAAAATATTACAGACGATGAGTTAACATGGAAATTGGTATTTGACCTTGAAAATTATGGGAATGCATCATTTTCGTTTTAACAACGCTTAATAATTTTGACGCAAATTTTTTATATTATAAAATATTGATTAATATTATGTAGGCACATATTTTTTTGCTTATTACGTTATTAGGTTTATTTTTGTCTATAACACAATAAACAAAAACAATCATTAAAATCACTGTGCAAATATTCTTAGTAACATAATTGGTAAATTTATTTTATATTGTCACTCTTATATAACTCGTACGATAAATAATACTCCCATACGCATCTGTAAATCTATTTACATAGGTATATAAATTATACGTTCTATATGTGAATTTAAATACGTATATCCTTTATGTTCAAAACTTATATTATCTTAAGAACTTTTATTTATTCTTTTTTTATTTTGATTATTTTTCGGTAATTAAATAATTTTATTTCTCATAATTGTAACACATTTAAATTATACGCTTAATAATTATTTACAAATAAATATGTATATTGCTATATTTATATTGACATATGTACATACATTAAATATAGTATGTATATGTAATATATACATTATATTTATCTTAATAAAATCATAAAATATAACAAGGATAACAAGGATAAGAAGAATTGAATTGAATGAGGCATCATACAATTTACGTCTACAATTTAAAAATATCTTAAATATATTTGTTGTATATCTCCAGTTTTGTATATAATAATGTTTAAAAATGTAAACGATGTCACTTCTTTTTCTTATTCCAGACTCTTTGAAGAAAAAATAAGGATAATACGAGATTTTAAACGTTTTCGGCATAATATTGCAGTATCCTTTAAATTAAATTTAATAGAGGAATAATAATTATGTATGCGTATATGGAGCATACACATATTTTTATATAATATATAGGTACTCGTATATATTAATTCTTATATGTACTCAAAAATATTCTTATATATGTAATTATTTACAGTGATTAGCTTTTATGTGCGACACTGGAATCATTAATTTAATTCTTTAATTTTCTAAAACGGTTTTAACATTTACACAAGTAAAAATATTTATTTCAAATAAAAGAAGTGAATATTTCAAATAAAAAATTCACTGAGAAAAAATTAGTTTTTTTTTATATAAATAAAGTTTTTTAATATTACTTTTGAATCGAAATATTTTTAGAGTTGCATTAACGATTACTGTGCTAGAATGTTATAAGATGTGTGTTAGAATGTTATAAAAAATAATTGGAGTAAGTTTATTTAACAAATCAATTGGTTTTCAACTAGAATTTAAAATTACTAAAATTATAACCTTTAAATTTTTTTCAGAAATTATAGGTATATTTTATAAATTTAGAACTATAGGGTATGTTTTCACTTGTTATATATGTTTTTCACTTGTTCACATTTGGAAAGCATACCGAATCGTTTAAACTCATAATTTTGTACAATTAATAGACGCTACTTCTTAATAGATCCGCAAGAAACTCTTGATACTAACTAAAATGCAGGACTGCCAACATCGCTTTGTTGAAAAGAATATTTTCACTTGTTACAGATATTGTTTACCCGTTTACATTTGGAAAGCATACCGAATTGTTTATATTCATAATTTTGTACGACTCATAGACGCTAGTTATATACAGACTCGCACAAAGCTCTTGACACTAAAAAGCGGGACTGACTGCAAACATCGATTTGTTTGAAAAGAATATACTTTTGGCAATATTTGTTGAATCAGGGCAATTAATTAATGCCAAATTAATTGATTAATTTTTGTGGAACTTCATTTCAATACAATTAAAATTTAATGACAGAGTTATAACATCATTAATATTTTTAAAAACCATCATCTTTTTTTTTTCTCTGTGTTAATATTTAAAAATGATAAATATTTACTTTAGCATAACAGTTAAATGCTTTTATGTACACATAAATATAATTGAAAAAATATAAGTGTAGGAAAATATGTTTTTTTATCATTTTGAAATATGCACGTGATTAAAAAATTAAAATTATTAATAAAAAAAAATAAATGAAAAAAAAAATAATTTTTATTAGGACTCCTTCAAGATAGCAAACAAATTATTGCTGTATAAAAGCAATGAAAAATTTCAATTTAAATATCATTTTCTTGCTATAATCCCAAGTGTTAACAAGTGAACATTAATTTAATAATAAAATAAAATAATAATTATTAAGAAGTATTAAAAGTGAATTTGTAATTAAAAGGCTATATGAACATATTTTATATTTAATATTGAAATAAAATAAAAAAAAAATATTTTGGTATTCAGTTAAAATACAAGAAGCAGAAGAAGAAGAAGAAGTAAGAATTAAAGCATTAAAACTTTTAATTATTATTAAATTAAATAATTAATATTGAATAATATGTAATGGTGAATTTTTGTGTCCAAATTTATTGATCCAAGTTTATTGCTTAATATACTTGTAATTTGACAATTTACTATATAACACATTACTAGAGCCTGGTATAGTGATTTAATTAGTTATAGCTGATCTTTTATAACAATAATATATTTGTAATAAAAAAGAAATTTTCCTATATATTGTACTGTAGTCATATCGTATATGCAAATGTCTTATAAAGTGATACTATTGCTTATACCTAGAAACATTTTTTTATCACCTGTACTGAATACTGTAGAAATACTGTACGAATACTGTAGAAAGGTATATTTGAGGTGATTTTTTATCACCTTATAGTAACGCGACTAATGGGTGATTGTGTATAATTGAAATTTGTATTTCAAGCTGCTGAGCTTGATTTTACAATAATTTTTATATGAATACGGTATTAAAAAGGTAAACTAACTGTGGTAAATCTTCGAATCTGTAAAATTTTTCAAATGTCTAATAGCTTTTATAAATATTTCCTTGATAAATTGCAGTTGAAAAATTTTACTCGATAAATTAGTAACTCAGTGGAAACCATATTTGGCATATAATATCAACATTAATAAAATGGTACATCTTCTAGTTTCGAAAATTTTGAATTTATCAGGACATTCCTTAGGTCAGATCTCAACACCGCGATTTTTCAATCGATTTGAAATTTTTTTGAATCCATTGATAATTTATTTTATTCTAACGGAATCACACATGTGATACTTACTGATTTATATTTTATACTAACTCAGTGAATATTGTTGTCTTATAAGCTTTACTATTTTTCTCACAAAATTTTTCTTGTATACAATTTTAAATGTTCTTAATTATTTTTAATATTTTTAATTCTTAAAAATAACATTTATTAAAGATTATTTTTTTATTTTTTACAGATTATTATTTGCTGGCATAAACTCAAATATAATATAAACATTATAGTGTGAAATTATCATTCTATAATGGCGACATCAAAAATATATAATATATTTTTATTATTTAGTTTTATTTCTATACAATATGTATACAGTACACCATTTCCAAATACATGTGAAGATCAATTAATTAGTTATCGAAAATTTATTTTAACAGCTGTATTAAATTTTGAAGATATATGTGATGCAACTATTTATCAAGAAAATCAAGATCAACATAATAATGGTTTTTCATCTAATAATGGTCAAATAAGTACTGCAGCTATTAGATCTGATGATATACGTAATAGACCAGAAGTATGGGCATTCTTTCGTATGTTAATGGCACAATTTAAAGATTCTGAATTTATAAATATTTTAAAGGATGCAATTATTGAAAAATGTAAAGAAAAATCACAAAATGATAAACGTGATGGTGTTGTTATTGGTAAAAAACAACGTTTTCATTCATGGGGCGGTAAAAGAGCTAACAATAATAATAATTTATCTCAAGATACACTATATAATTCTAATATGGGTATTAGAAATGGTTTTGGTAATAATTTAGAAGCAACAAAATTTGGATGGAATAATTGAAAAAATAATTGCAAAAAAATGTTCAATTATAAAATTTTAATATCATAAAACAAATATTTTTGAATTTGAATATAAATGAAATAAAAGGGCTGGAAAAATTTTATTCATTATAGAATATACATATATATACTTATAGATATATATACATTAATAAAAGTAATAAAATCAAATAAATAATGTAAATACATAAAAAAAAATTATTGCAAAATTTTTAAATATATCAAAATTATTATATTGTATGTATGTGTTTAATATATCATTACAATATGTATTTAAAAAAAAAAAAACAAATATTAAAAATAATATTGCAAATCATTTTAAAAATGAAACAAAGTATTAGAATTTAATAAAATAGTTTAACAGCTGGTTATCCTAACAATATAAGCACGTATTTTGAATAGATTTGCCATTAAAACAATAATAGCATTACAAAATATATAGCTTCCGCATTATGCGGCGCATAAAATCCAAAAGAGATGCATGAATTTCTTCTTAACTCTAAAGTCTTCATTAATATTATCAAGCGTACTAGTTTGTCACAATTAGCTATACATAGAGTAAAGCTTTTTTCGTTGATGCTTCATTTCATACAAAATCTGCAACTGAATTTCAAGCTTCCTGTTTTTGTATGTTTATTAAAAATCTGTAATCAGATAATCTTATTTAGAGAATAGCCAACCCTAAAAATATCTTCTAGTAAACTTTATATTCGGTAGGAAAAGTTTCAATTTTATGAGTGTTGTTTTATGTTTCCACAGTTCTCTTAAATGTCGGGAGTATAGAGAATAAAAAGAAAATGGGATTTTGTTTTAGTATAGAGTTATAGAGTTTTAAAGAGTTTTTAATAAGTTTCGGTTCGGAAAAAATTTTGCTAAATTTCCTTTATTATTTTGACCACTCGTATGCCATTCAGAGAAATCATTCTGTTAAAATGCATGTAGGCCTGGTTGCTTTTTAGGAATTCAGTAATTATCAACTTTATTTTAAATTCGGTAGTTATTAAGCCAATAATGAAATAATCATGTTAATTTTTAGCACTTTTCCAAAAATATTTTGAAAAAAAGTGCTCCGTCTGTCCGTCCGTGGACACTTTTTTTGTTTACAAAACTTCTACACCCTGGAAGATTGAAAGCTCAAATTTAATACGTACATAGATCTTTACTAGAAACTTATTTCCGTAGAACAAAATTTTTACCTATCTCCCCCCTCTAGAAATTATACCCCCCAAAACCCTAAAAATGGCCTTTTTTAACTATTTGTTGCAATGAAACCATAAGAATTTTAGAAATTTTGCAAACGCATAAAGTCAGCGGCTTGCTTCCCCTAGCGTGGTATACTATAGTTTAACTTTAGAAAAACAAAATGGCCGTTCAAATTTACCGTTATCTAAAGTCCTTTTTTTCCAAATTTTTTATTTCGTTTTTCTTCTTAAGCCCAGCCTGTAGAAGTTTGAAATTTTAGGGGCTTTTAGACATTAACCAATAATTCGTTTCGTTAGAAGAAAATTTTTTTCCATCTCCACCCCCACTCAAGTTATCGCCTCTTGAAATTTAAATAACAATAGGGACACAAGTTATGCAAACTCACAACTGTCAATGCGTTCGAAATTCTTCGTTCAATTCGTTCAATTATCAACAAGATATCTGAAAAATATTCTTAAGTTTTCTTATTTATAGGCCAATTAGCAGTTCTCTCTATTCTAATACAATTTATAATATTATGTACTCATTAAAATTCTAACATTCCTCCGAAATATATGCAACATGATGTTTTAATAAGAAATGAATTTTGGATTTTTAAAGGTTTTATTGCGTTAAAATCTTAATTGCTTTTGCAAGATTGAAATTATTATTTAAGTGTTAATTTATAATGTGTTTGACCGAAGTGTAGAATTTGAAATAATTGCTATACTTTGTATACAAATAATAAATATTTTAACACTTCCTGGAAATGTTACTGTCAATTTTATTAAATCATTAAAATTTTTATTAATCTGTTCATTTTGTTATGAGTCATTAATGAATTATTATAACAATCGAATAAGAGTATAGAAAAAAATTGATGTATTCCCCTAAATTTATGTAAAAACTCAATCCTCTTTATTATTATATGCCACATTTTCAACTACAATACATTTAAATCACTTGTATAATGTATGTAGCTTTAATTTTAAAATATTTTCTATAATATCGTTATTATTCTATATATGTACAATAATATATAGGACAAAAAACAAATAAAATTATCAACATTAAAAAACAACAAAGCCCAGTTAAAAAACTTAACAATATAATCATTTTCTATTATAAAAGAATGAAAGAAAAGAATACAAAATAAAAAAAAAAAATAACCATTGAGCTTAACACTGGCATCGTTAATTTACGATTAAATTGTATGGAAAATAAACATTTAACCTCATAAAATTTTCTTAACTTCTTTAAAAATCATCAAACAATAAACCCTCTAAAATGGACTCTTTAAATACAAAATATATTTTTGTTTATATATATAAAACAAAAAGAATAAAAATAAATTATATACAATGTATATATAAGTCTCTTGTTTGTATTACAATTATACATTTAAAACAAGAGCCACTATCTTTCATTTATTTGCTCCAATAATAATGATTATTGCGTTAATAGTATATTTGGAGCAGATTATTGTAGGTATACTTTAAAGTTTTATTAAACTAAAAAGTAGGGGAATATATAAGTTTATTAATCTCATAAAGAATTGTAAGCATACTCTATAAACGAAATTGCATAAAAAGGATCACGATAATCGTGTCAAATAATGCCATATTATTAACAAAATCTTTAAATTTAAAAAAAAAAAAAACTTTTTAATTTTAAAAAACTTACCTATTGTGGTATTTGAGCTACGTCCAGTTTTGAGTTCAGCCTAGAGTTTTTCTTTAGCATATCATTAATCCCATACCATTAGAATCTAACAAATCTACCCCAGGCACTCGATTTATTTGTATTTTATTCGAGAGATTTTTATTATTTTCATTATAACTAATCAGAATTATAATTAATCAGAGCTCCCGTATTCGATAAAAATTTCTTATTTTGTTTACAGAAAGAAAACAAATTTATATTAGGTAAAAAAATTCTAATATAATTTCTACAGATTTTAATAATATACTGGCAATACTTTTAAAATATATTTATAATCTATAATTATTTTTCCCCTTTTACAATACATTCAAAATTGATATCCTCCATTTGTTCATCTATGTATAATTGTATATTGTTTCTTAACATAAAAATTAACATTGTATAAAAGTATCAGATCCGAGAACAACTTAATATTATGTTATAAACTGTATACATAATTGCTTTAACATAATGCTTAAGTATTTCGTTTTCTAAGTAGTAATTATGTAAGTATAGTGCATATGTATAACAGATGGTACAGCATGAAAATGAAACAATAAAAGAGAATAGATTGGGATTCATACATAGCCTGGATATTATTATACATATCCTGGATTTAATTTTTTTTTTCTCAAAAATTTTTATTAAATTGGGAAAAAAAATTTATAATTCAGTTTTCTTAAATTGTATTTTAAAAAAATTTAAAAAACAATTCAAAAACTTGTTATTGAGTATGTAAGACGGATCTTATCCGGGGAATCCGTAGATAAGAAAGATGTTTCAATGTGTTGTCTCTTGTTCTCACAATGTCCAGGCATTTATTTTTAATGAATTGAGTACCATATTGCAACTATTTTACTGCGAATGCGTGTTTTTCAAATTTAAAGGCATATTTTGTCTGTATCATGTATGTTTCATTGCATTTGTGAATTGTGTTTCATATTTACTGTGTTCCGATAATTGCTCCGCCTCAAAAAAAAACAAAATGTTAATTATTTTTAGTGTGTGTGCGTTAGTTAATATTTCATTTTTTTTTTGACTGTGTGGTAAATAATTATATGAGTTCAAATACACACACACAAACATTTTTTTATTTCTTTTTTTTTTAATGTATTCATTATTTATTTGGTTTTTTTCTTTAATTTTTTTATTTTCTTGTAAATTAAAATTTCATCTTCATTTTGTATTTCAATTTCATTTTGTTTAATATAAACTTAAGGCGTTGTTTAATTAACTGTAAATCTGAGAGTATATATTGTATGTATGTGAGATTTTTTTAGTTTTTTTTCTCTCTTTTTTTTTATTTTGTTATTTTGTATTGCATTTTGTTTGTTTATTTTTTGTTTTTTCCTTTATATTTACTTTTTTTTACTCTTTTTTTTTTAATATAAAACACATAAATAAATAAATATGTATAAAATTGAAAAAAAGGTATATATAAGAGAGACGACAAAATCAGAAAAAAATAAACAAAAATATTAGTAGAAAAGGAATAAAGAGAAAAGAAAATGATATTGGATTTTGTTTTGTTGTACCCAGAAAGGGTGAATAAAGGAGAGGAGAAGGTTGGCTTGGCAATAATAGAGTTAATGAGAAAATATAAAGGGAAATAATGTTGTTACATTTTCTACATTTATAAAAATATAGCAATAAGTGTTTGTATATATTATGTATGTGTGTATGCATATGTATGTATATGGATGTATTCTAAATACTTTATGGTTTGTTATGCTTTTTTTTTATTTTTAATATTATTTTCTATTTATTTTTCTTTTTTTTATAATAATTTTTTTTCTAACTTTATACTTTGCGTAGACTTCATGAAAATTGAAATTTTCAAGTAGTCGAATTAAAAAACGGTAAAAATAGGAGGAGTTTTTTATATTCTATTTAAAATGTATATCTATGTATATATACATTATAATATAAAATAGATTTTGTGTATATTTATATTAATATGTACATTAATATATTTGCCTTTAAATAATGTATTATATGTACGAATGTATGTATATATATATAGATTTTTAAAGTGAAATTATAGCGTATAGCGTAGAGAAGACGTTAGATAAGTAATGTATGTTATGTATGTATAGAAATGATATACTTTTATAGATATTGAATTTTACTATACAATATAATTACTGGTAAATTATAAATATATGAATTTCTAGTTTTTGGGAACACATAATATATAT